CGCCCCGCCCCACCTGTCCGTCCGCGGCTCATGACATGCTCTATGGCACCTTTAATGCCGCCTTCAATCAGTCGAGAAAGATGTTGATTATCCGCGCATGCAAATCGCGGGCAATGCCAACGTGCTAAGCCGCCAGAGCGCAGCTCGGGCGCGGCTCAGGCGCCGCCGGTCCATACGAGAGTAATTGCATGTTTACTGATGTTCGATGTTTATTCGTCCCTGCTGGCAGGTGATCTGTCGCATACCGCATGCCGCCATTTCACTCTCTATTTATCACCTCCAATTGCCTATTATGTGTGTTTGTTATTGTTCTTTTTACATAAAAGACCTTTTCCTCTGGCAGAGACAGTCTGAGGGAATGTCTAAAAAGATATTTACGCTGAAAAGTAAAAAGCAGCAAAATCAACATTAGTTTAGAGATTACCTGTAAAGTATAGTTCTTGACGCTGTTGCGACTTTTGAGTTTTTTTGGTGGCACCGTTTTGAACAAATGAAATCAGAGATCTTAAGACTTTGGAGATTTTACAAAGCGCACCCCATTTGTGGCCACCGTCGGTCGTAGGGACGCCCGGGAGGTAGGCAACCCATCGAGCTCATCCTCTCTTAAATCCCGCGGCAGAAAGAAAGCATTCCGGTAAAGCTGAAATGCAGAAGAATGCAGGGAACAAGAAAACGGAAGTTCCATGTAAAAGCAAAGTGATTTCCGTTTTCTTCTTCCTCGTATTCTTCTGCATTTTGGCTTTACCGGAATGCTTTATTTCGCGTCCTGAACCCGTTGTTGAAAGATTCCACACAATGTCAGCGCCAGGTCAGCGCTATGAAGCGCTCGACACGGCTCGACGCTTCTCCCGCAGACCCAGACATCTCAGACACTGCGAGTGCGTTTGCGCCTTGTGTTTTGTGTTCAGCGAGCCTTGGGCGCGATTATCGATAATGAGAATGACGCACACGACGGCGACGGCGGGGCGACGCGTCGGCCATTTTCAGGAAAGGTTAACCACTTGAAGGAAAGTTTCGATTGATTATCCGCCTGGAGTGCTCCGCGGTGCTCCGCCCTTATTGGCACCTGGCTTGTGCCGCTTGTGCCCCCCGTCTCTCCCCCTAGCTCCCGCCTCTCACGCCGCCCTCTCCTCTTCCGCCCGGCTACTGCCACCCGCGCCGCCCAAGTACTCGAGGTGCCGTTAAAAACTACCGAGAGCCGCCGAGGATCCTTAAAGTCGGGTGTAAAAATGGCAATAAAAGGAAGCTAATAATGGCGGCCCGTTTCAAGGCCACTGACTCACTCGAGTGGAGGGGAACAGGTTTGCAGGCCGGACAGAGCGCGGGCCGCCGCCGCCCGGCCTGGCGGTCAGTGTTACAGACGAGCGGGGTGCCAACTACTGAAATCGAAAGTGCGCGGGGTGGTGGTGGTGGAGACGGACAGGGGAGAGAGTGGGCGGCGCGTTGGCAGCGGCTCCGGGGAGGCGTTGTCCGCCACCTCCGGCGGGGCAGGGGGCACCATGGCGTCGACCGCACGAAAGAGGTGATAATAGGCTTCTCACCTCGTACCCCCCCGACCCCCGCTTACTCCAGAGGGGCGCTCGCGGAGGTACAACTACTTTTAGTATGTACTCCTGAGCCTGGCGGGGGACTCGGGGCCCGGGGATTAGAGAGAGGGCACGGATGAGCCGGTGCTCCGAACGCAATCAGCTTCACGCGCACTACGGCGTAAGCGTTAAGCAGGCGTAAGGCGGAGCTGCGGGCCAGCTTCCCCGTAGTAGCGCCCCCCATGGGGTGCTACTTACAAGTTTGTACCTGAGCCCGCGCTGCCAGGCTCAGGCACCTGTCAGCAGGGGCGCCTGACCCGGCCGGGGACACTGACCCGCAGCTCCGCCTTACGCCCGCTCAACGCTTTACGCCGTAGTGCGCGTTACGCTGATAGCGTTCGGAGCACCACCGGCCCGGCAGGGTCCCGTGGGGCTCATCCGCTTGGCCTCTCTCTCTCTAATCCCCCGCACCCCGGGTCCCTCACCACAAACTTCAGGCTGATAACGAAAACATTGGGCCGAGATTGACTAAACTTCCACCTGTCGCCTCTGCTGTACTGGAGTTGGACAGTGGCGCCGCGACGCAGGACTCTGTTCCAGGGTTCCAAGTGGCTGATTAACCCCGCACACTCCTGTCGTTGTTTACTAACCCGCACCGCATTCCTGCGAGCGGGTTGCCTACTCGCTCGGCCCATACGGGGTTTAATCAGCCACCTCTGGCTCCTCGCTCACTTAGATGATGATATTCGAAACGTTTCTTGGATTCAGTGATGACCAACTCATCGTTTCCTAACAAACACGTGTTTCTGCTGCTCGCGGGGTCGGGTCGGGATCCTCCTTCCGGGACTCTCCCACGTGAGTGCGCCGCGGCGACGCGATCCATCATATCGGCCCGGTCCGCGCGAAGTGTGGTCCGCGCACCGCGCCGGGCCGCGGCAGCCGCGGCCACCCGGCGATGCTCCGAAGGACGTCCCGGCCCCGCCGCCGGCCCACACAGAAGGAAGCCGCCCTGGGCGCTATCTAGGCAAGATTCACTCGAAGGCGTCAGGTGGCCCTAGTGTCACTGATGGTCCGCAGGTGCCACAGGTGTTGCAGGTGTTGCAGGTGCCGCAGGTGCCGCATGGCACGCGCGATCACACACATGAACACACACACACACACACACACACACACACAGTGCAACGACGCAGCAGGTTCGCACGGTGGGGCCAGGGTGGGGCGATGCCGCCGATGCAGCCTCCTCCCTCCTTCTCCGCCTTTTCCCAGCAGCAGCAGCGATGATCGTCTCCTGACCCCCGGGGCAGCCAGAGGGAACGATGTCCTTGAACGTGATTCAAGGGCGTCTGAGGCCCTGTAACACGTAGCGAAGCTCGCTGGAGTGGTGTGGAGGACCGGGTCGAGGGGGGGGGGGAGGAACTCGTGTGCAAGCGGTTTGATTGGTACACTGCAGCGATCGACTAAAGCTGAATTGTAAAGCGACGATCAAATCTACGAAGTTTTCTTTGAGAGTTCTTGCCGAGTTGAAGCGAAGGATGGGCGTTTAACCTGCAGAGGGAAGTCTCCCGACCCATTTGCGACAACAGGCACATCGCTCCGTCGTCAGAGGCGCCGGCGGCAGTAGCTCGGCGGGTAGAGCCAGCGCGTGGGTGGCTCCTCGGCGGGTGGCCACCCGCTGGTCACGGGGGGCCGTGCCAGCAGGTTATTTCCCCGAAAGCCCTGGCGGCACTTGCACACATTCCTGGCACTTGTGTGTGTGTGCGTGCGGGAAAGGGAAGGGGGGGGGGCAGAGTGCAAGCGGCAGAGCTGGGTGTCCGCAAGGCGCGCCCCCGCACGGAGTGTTTGGCCGAAAGCCAAGCATTGTGCCATTCAATGACCCATCATGCAATGCGCTCCGCCGGCGCCGCGGCGGCGCAGTGTGTCCGTCCGCTGGGCGCTGGGGCCGCTCCTCACGCACACACGCGCACACTCACACGCACAGACGCCCACACGCACGCAAATGAGTGACCGCGACCTTGTAGTAACGCGAGGTGGAGGAAAGCATGGAAGCGGGTCCAGACATTATTTCCCTTGCAGCGGCGGCGGCTGCGCGGCGGCAAGATCCTCGCGGCCGTGACGCGCCCCGCCCCGCCCCGCTCCGCCGCGCCCGCCTGGCCAGCCAGACCCGGGTGTTTCGCAGATTCCGCGAACAGGCGCGATGTTGATGTTGTTGGTGTCGGAGGCGAACCGGCGCGGCGCAGTGGTGCGTCCGTCAGCGACTTGATTGGATATGTTCGGTGGAACACACACACACACGCACACGCACCTATCAGTGAGAGTGCGCGCGCAGGAGAGACAGCGGG